TGTTGGATGCTTATTTATTGTGCTATTTTAATGATTATTTATGTGTTTATGTGTAAAAGTCTTAGCAATAAGTTACAGAGTATAATTGAAATATCAATATACAAAGATGATGGACATCAAAGTGAAATATGTTTTCTATTTGACTGCAAAAATATGTTCAATCTTAAGACTAAATCTGTACAGTATAAAGTTGATATTTTTTAAAAAAATTTTGACTTTTAGTAATGTATGAAGCAGTTCGTTTTTACTTGCAAGTACAGTTATAAGTATACCTTAAGTTACCTAGTTTAATATTGTCTTACTGTGTGGGGGTCCAAATCTGATGCTGATACAAACGCTTCCTATACTCAAACCAAACTTGGTGAGGTAGTTTTCTATAGTGATACTGAACTATCAAATAGAAGTTTCTAAATTTTTAGAGATGTATGCATGATAGATGATACAACATACTGTAGACTCTAAGGATTAATACTGAAATAACAAAATACCTTAAAAGCTTATTCAAAACACTGTAACTTCTTTGTATTTACTTGAGATGGCTAACTCTAATATTGACATTTTTGTACTACTGACGGTTTGTAATTTCATAATAAACCTTAGCTTCGATGTTTCAACTGAGAAAATGATCGTTATATTCAAATAAGCTGCATTATATGTTAACCAGAAAAATGTTCTGGAATGGTCTGGTCTTCATCCTTGCTGGACAGTATAAGGGACACTGGTTGAAGGCACCTAACATGCATTACATTTATACATGGTCACATCATTTTTGGCAAGTTGTTGGTTGATAAAATTTTACTACGAAAAGACCGACTAATATTTTGTGTTATTGAGAAAGATTTGTTACTCAGAAAAGTGATCCTGATAAAGTTGAAATTCCTTAGCTGGACAGTTCAATCGTTGAGTTTTCACTGATTCCGTAGACTAAACAATTATTTTTATCCAATTAAACAGTCAGATAAGTAACATTATGTTGTTTTAGAGTTCCAAATGAGTAACTGGAATCGATCAACATGGTCGTAAAGCATACATTGATTAATATGAACGGGGTATATCTTATGCATTCAAAGTCACTGTCTATCTTGATATACTTTGATGAATGAGGTAACATCAAGTTAAAACAAAGCCTTAGGGTAGTCAGATAATGGTTGTAACAGAAATTTATAGGTTCGAATATCTTAAGAACGTGTAAACACGTAGCTGAAATTCTTTCTTACTAAAATTAGTCTGTTATAGTTTTTTAATGAACCTTATACATAGAAATTACACTATCACTACAAAAAGTAACGTGATTTTGAATTTTTGGAATCTCGTTACATTCTCATTCATTATCAGTGTTTGCTTGGATTACTGGATCTATGTATTTAAAAGCAAAAAACCATAAACATAAATGAAGTTAGTTTATGAGAGTATTATGATCGGTTAGAAGACAATTAAAGCGTTCTTTTCTACATAGTTAAACACTTAATACGAAATAAAATTACACTCAGAATTGCTTGATAATAAATCCGAGATGTTTAATTACAATTTCATTCAATATAACGAGAGAACTAGGCAACATCTTTGAACTCAAATTGTTTGTAAGCATTTAATTCATCACTGTAGAGAAACATATACAAAATGGTATAACAGCATAGTAATGCAGTAATTTGAAGCACAAATGAATGAAATGAACTGAAGCTATCTTATAGCGTGTAAATACTGCAGTTTGGTCATTTGATTATCATGTGACAGTCATACATAGCTATTTAAGTGAACCATAGATTAAAGTCGGAAGTAATTGTGTTTTCCTTCGTCGAATTTTAATCCTATTTATTAAAGATCGAACAAAACTGGATAACTATGAAGCAGATCAATATTTTAACAACTAATCTGTTAATCCTTCAGTCTTATCGCTCATAGTGTAAATGGTACAGTATCTATTGTGCTGCAAGTAAAATATGGAAGTTAAATTTTGAACAACAATTAGGACACTCTCATCATTGAAGGTTGCCAACATAAACTTTATGTGAAAGGTTAAGCATAGAGAGATTTCATGTTTTTATTTCCTACTTGGTATCTTCGAATAAATAATATTTCTTAAAGTTTATTCAAGTATGTATGAGTATCTGCATTTAAATTTGACCTTTTTTGAAGAGTTCTATATTTTAAAAGTGTTGTCTAATTCATTTTCATACTGTTGCAGTTAAATCACAATGTTTTTTGAGAATGAACTTCTCTTGATTATATAACACAATAAGTATATATATATATATACTTTTGGGACTTTATAGGTGAATGTACGTAGATCTTTTGAGTTTTATTTCGGTGGCTCGAACTCGGTACCTTACTTTTTAAACTCTAAAATGCTTTACAGATAGTTATTAGTATGACTTCCAATTCATTTTTTAAAGTTATGATATATTTTTGATATTTTTGAAGTAGAATGCATTGATGAATCTCATACTTCCTAAAAATTACTGTACGAGAACAGAAACTAGTAAACAAAGCTGTCTTTAAAGCTGTAAACTTATAAATTCCACCCATTTACATGTCAAAGTTTTAACGATTTTGATTGGCTGATTGGAACAACTAATTAACTTGATAGTCATTGGTCCAAATTTGAATCGATAAACGTTAAGCTGTATGACAATAGTATGGAACAGAAATTATGCCTAAGTGCTAGCGTTAGACAAAAATAGTTTTTGGAATGATTTTCAGCTTTCACGAAATAAGCTTAAATTAAAAATACTAATATCTAGAATAGGCGAGAATTGGGTTAGTGTACTATTATTAAATAACTTGAAATATTGACAATAATCAGTAAATAAACTATTGAAGTTGTTCAGAACTTAAAGCACATATTTTTTCTCAAAATCTAACTTCTGGATTGAACTTGTCATTACTTCTGAACCTGTACAAGATTAAACATAATGTCAGAGAAAGATTATTATGGAAACAAAGTTTAACAGTTAATAAATCCAGTAACTGAAATTTGGCTACAACCTAGGATTCTGTAGATCGAAAACAATAGATTTTGGAAGTGGTAGTTCTTGAGGACAAAAATATCCTGTATTCCGTTACTGAAATAACTCAATGGATTTGTTTTCTGCGAAGTAGAGGTGCCTACAGTTGGTTACGTAATGAAATAAATTGTTTCCCGTGTAAACAAAAACAGAAAGGCATAATATTATTAGAACATTTTATGTAAATGAATTCAATTTTTGATTTGGGATTTATTTTAAAAGATCGCAGTTTTATGGAACTTAAACACAAAAAGTAAAATTTTCAAGACATTTATTTTTATAAATAAACATACCTTTAAAATTAATAACAGAGTTTCATAGGAGTATATTTGATTTAGTAGATATAAAACCGTGAGAATGTAACTGAAGCATTCAAAGAGTAATAACAGAAATTCAAGTATAAGTTTTATTGAGCGTAATTAAGAACTAATTCTTAGAGTAATTTGGATAACACTAGTATCTGAAAATAGGTATATACAATGTTTTTAATTTAAAGTACTATTCCATAATAAATTATTCTAAACCATTTACCGAAATAGTTTTAATCTTAATGATGAAAGGTGGAGTTAAATGGACATACTTTTGCTCATTTTCATGGTTTTGAAAAGTTTGAAAACGTGTTTTTTATTTGAAAAGGACTCATGAGCGTCAGACGACAGAATGTATTCGATACAATTTATCATTTTTTTAAAGAATAATAATGCGTAATTTATCCTTTGTTGCATTGTAGTGAAATACATTACATATGGGCTCATTGGATTAGTCAGAATTTTGGGTCGAGACTTCAATTTCTAGACTACCACTGAGCGATGTTAAAGTTACCTGGAAAAAATTCACCTACTTACTAGGGTCAAAGAGGATTGTAAATTAATATGAGGAATTAGCATTTTCATCATGAATTGAGATCAATGTACTACCAAAATGATATTTAGCCATCCGATTGAATAAATTCTACTCCGAAATCCCAGACTTGCTATCTTAAAATTCATTAATTCGTCCATAACTTATAGTTCCTCCACTTGTTTTAAGGAAAATCTCGGATTATTGGTTTATTTCATGCACATCTATTGAACATTCTGAAACATTTGGTTACCTTAAATTATACGGTCAACCATCTCTAAACGGTTTCCTGTAATATGCATTTATAAATGAAATAAATATCAGAGGACGTAAAACTAAACTAGGCACTTATAAAACCGCTATATCAGCTTCCATAAATCAAAGTGAGTACATAAATTATTCAAAAATAATTCCTAGATTATAATGACTTTAGAATAAAGATCTTGCTGAACACGAGAACTGGGACAGATGTGAATACTGATTACGTTTTTATTTAAATGGAATTTTAATTTCATGTTCATAGTATCCTTTATCAGCTGTTTTTAACAGCTATTTTGTTTGAAAGACTATCCGATTAGAAATTCATCAGTACATATTAACATAAGAGCATATCAATCACCAAAGCATTCTAGATTAACCTACAAACTAGTTTTATATTCCAAATGCCGTTATACTGATCATTTAAATCACATAACCAGTTTTAATAAGTATGTATGACCTTAACTAAAACGAGCAATCCAATTTACAGAATGAAACCACTTATTTTATACGCCTTCTGTGATTATTGATGACAAATTACTGGTTTACAGATAATCTAGCAATGAAATCGTTCCGCTCGGAACACCAACCTAGTGTATCGGGCCATTAGGAAGGCCCAAGGACCGATGCGTGTTAATTCGTAGCTATAATTAACGGATAGGACTACATAGATATTATTCTCGTAGCGATTGGCCAATTTGTAGAATATAAAGTTTTAGACCTATTAGGTTAAGCCAATCAAATGTTAGTTACATTGTCTGAGCCTTCAGACAATTTAGATCTATCTGCCAACACAGGTAAAGCAGTTCAAGGTCACTAACGCTTGATTGGTCAATTCACGGAGCCAATTGAGTGATTGACCATAGTCCAATGAATCAAGGTTCAGTTTTCTCTCTCAGTGATCATAGTGATTGACTATTTGGTTGATCTGTTTTTGATTCGTGACTTGATGATTGTAAGGAATTACCGGGTGAATTAGTGTTTGAATTTTCAAGATCACTTTGACCTTTATCTTGGTGGAACAAACTGTATCTCGCATTATTTTGACAATTTATCATGCTTTCACCTTTCTGTGTATGAAACCTATTAAAACGTAAGTCTCAGCTTACGGTATTTTTTGTATTATATATTTGCTGGCCTGAGCGACATTTTCATAACTACCTGACTTTGCATTATTATAATTTATTGTGTGTTGTAATTACTCCTATCTCTGCTCGGAATAAATTGGAGAGTGATATATAACTTGTCGAAGTATGTTATTGAGAGATATTTTAATTATAAAAGGACTCTAATTATAATAAGTTGGCTGTAAACTTGAAATTGACATAATTTTTATCGTGTTTTCGAAAAGCTTTCGTATTCAAGTGAAATGCATTTATGTCGGTGCCAAACTATTCAGTCCATTTAAGCCTATATTTCGGGGATGTAAACATATGGATATATTTCAGTTCTCAGCGTTCGACATCAAATTAAATCTGATTAAAAGTTGGGTTAGGTATCTCAACTGACAAAACATAGGGTTAGTGGCGTAGATGCCACTTACATAAGTTCTCTCGAATTTCGTTTTATTCATTTATAACGTAATCTGTTATACAACAACATCCAATTTGTAACAATACTATGTTTTCAATATGCTTAGTTCGATGCAGTTGCAGTGAAACTATCAGTCGAATGAAAGATAGATACTGTACAAATTCGTTACTTCGTTTACATATATTATCATTGTTAGATTATGTGTAAAGTAATAATATTTAGAATCTTTATCTGAATTAGTTACCATGTGGTTTGTTCATATGCACCACTATTTGGCAGAATGTTCTTATCTTCGTGTCTGAAGTACTACAGGTCACTGAGATACTATCCACTGTTAGGTTCGCATGAAATTAAAATGCTGAAATTTCCAATATTTTTGAAGTTTCGTATTTTGTGACTTAAAAAGTACTTGGATACATCTTTGTTAAGTTTCATCTCGCAGTAAATTTGCGAAATTTGTTTGAGGAACAATAAAAAGTTAGTATTTTGTTTTCATCTTAATTTTACTCTATAATTCGTTCAGTAGACCATTCTAAATATTGCAGGTAATTTCGAGATTTAGATTCACTAGTTTATGGTTGACAATATCTAGTATCCTTATGTAAAGCGGTTTCATAGAAATTGTTGCTCAATAATGAACATAACTAAGAAATCAATAACGGGAATCCGCAAACTATCAATAAGTCGATATCACTTAACGAATCATTGATGATTACGCAATAAATTCACTAATTATCTTGTAAAAATTCTGCTATTAAGCTTATAGATTGGATTAGATAATCTACATAAGTGCATCATTTTCACAGAAACATCCTATGGTTTCTTGTTTGGTAACTTCCTAGTTAATTGCAAGAGTTGATTTTTTAAATTCACCAGTTATAGTTGTACATTTAGATTACTCAGAGAAGTTTATAATACTTAATAACGTTCTTGTTTGTTGGTTTTAAGATATTATTGATTATTTTTGTTTTTTTTGTCTTCATTTTCCTAAAACTTAGTTGTACAGAAAAATGCCAAATCCCCGGGAATTCGTTGGAGCTAGCTCAGGTTCTAGGAGAGGACGTCGTTCATATCCAAAGGTTGAAACTTTGAATAAAGGATTAAACTGTGAACCTATAATATTTCATCGTGAATATACTAAACGAATTTTACCTCAGTCTTCAAGAGGTAAACCTAGAGGCAAAGCTGGTCGCCCTCGGAAATATAAAGTGGAGGTTTCAAAAAATTACCAGGATTCTCCACCTATTTCTGAAACGTTGGATTCATTTGCTCGTTCTCCTAGTCTTTCATCAGATAAAACACCATGTAAACGTCAACGCAGATTGTCAAAAGATGATCCTAATTCTATTCCTCGTCTTACTAGTCAGAAGTCTGATCGATCGAGTATCAAGATCAAGTCAGGTATGAATGAACGTTTTTTAGCTGTATTGACTGCTAGAATAACTTGACCAGTAGTTAATTCAAAAAGCCGAATTAACTTTAGTTCAAGTAGTTGACTAACCTGTAGCTAATAAACAGAAAAGTGAATAGTTAATCAGATTAAACCACAATCTGTTTACGATTAAGAATATTGATTAATCTAGTTTACAGCTTAAATAATTTGTTTGGTTAGCTGATAGTGTTTATTTGTTTATAAATCTTGATTGAATATATTTGTGGAGACTAAATTACTCTGAAGAAAACTTTCATTCCTACGAGTTAAAAAACACCATTCCAGTCTAATGGCTTAGAGAAGTAATGTTTTAGTACAAGACATGAATGTGGTGGGTTATATTTTACGAGGAAATCATTAACAAGGGCTGCTCAGGAGTCTTGGATGTGAGTAAACCATATGTGTGATACTCTTTAACTTCTCTTATTTAATTAACTGACATCAGATAATAATTAATCTAATCTTAAAAATTCAATTCACCTCCATTTATTTTTCTTACTAACTTATTTAGTAATATCATATCACATTGACTTATTCATTTTAAATTATTTAGATGAAGCTGTCTACAAACTGTCAGTGTCTCAGTCTTCTGAACGATCAAGTGATGATCAGTCTGTTAAAGTTAAAAATTTTACATGTCATGAGTGTGGAATGCAGTTTAAAACTAAAGGAAGATTTGACAAACACATACCTTGTCGCGTACATAGAAATTCTGAGTATTTCCAGAAACCCCATTTAAAGAGAGGCAGAAAATCATTGAATTCAAAGTAAGCTTAGTATATTTTTAGATACAATGTTTACTTTTAACCGGATTGAATTAGTATCAGTTGTTGCCAATTGCTAGTAATCAGTTGACAAGTATATGGTGATTGTATCTATCTACGTTAAAATGACAGTATTTGAATTCTAGTTCAAGTGACAAGGCAACATGCAAAATATCCAAAACCTATAGAGCTTTTTTATATTATAGGTTTAACTACTAAATAATGGAGTAATCTGTATGGTATCTAGAACCATCACTTAAGAGTTAGCTGAGTCGAAATTTTTCTTTTTTCTAGAAGTAAAGATCCGAAATATTGTTATACAATGATTAGATATTTTGTCAGACATAGCTCATAATGTAACTGACCTCTCTTTCTTGCTTTTTAATTTCTCATAGATTATCTAGGTCTGTTCTTTGTTTTCATTCTAAGCATATGATTGAAGTGAGTTAATTAACATGAACTGTGAAGTGAGAAATCTCATTTTCGCATCATTATACATCAAAGTAATTTATTCACACGCTTTGAGTCTCAATAGATTAGTGAGAATGCTTTCATTAATCCAGGAGCGGTGAATTCAGAGACTTGTGACCAAAAACCGATCGCATAGTTTTAAACAAATAATTATAGAAAAGGGAATTCACAGAACGGAAAAAGATTTTATTTTCAAAGATTGTGAATATTTAATGTTGAGAGTGCCCTTATTAATTTATGACGAAATACTTTGTAGACGTAATTTGATTTTATTCGTCAACATATTATTCGCAGCTGAAATTTAATATTTTTTCTAAAGCAAGATTTTATTTTACTAAGATCACAAACAGATCTAAGTTATGTAACCATTAAAAACTTAGGAGTACTGGGCAGCCGTTCCATTCCAGTATAGGACTCCTCACCAGTCCGCGTCCCGGACCGTACAACTGGGAATCGGTATGCCATATCGTTTTTTTAACTTGGAGTGATTGGTGATCTCGGTAAAATTTGATAAGCTTATAATTCCATACTGATAAATATTTTACTTAATAAAATACAATATATCTTCGTAATTAGATTTAACAATGGGTTATATTTTTTTATAATTCAGTTATTTCCATCACTGCACAAGTCATACTCTAGCCTCAGTTGACTTAATCGCTGAAATTCGTAGCTGGATTTCATGTAGTATACTCCAAGATTTATCATCGTTATTATGCTTGGTCAACCATCTTCATAATATTTAACTTTCTTTTATTCAAAATTTACATAGTTGCATTAATCTATTCATTTTATTCATTTTCTTGTTCACTTATATAATGAATGCTTTATTATCATCAGTTTCAACTTGTTTTTAATTCCAAGTTGCTATGATTATTTAATAAGTTAATATTCTTATCTAAAACGAAATATTTGTGTGTCGTTTTGTGATTGGCTATATATTAACTAGTTGTTATCTGATTGGTTTATAAAATTGCCTATTGTTTATTTGGCCGATCTCATATAAAGACTTAGAATTTAGTTGAGGGAATAGTCGTTTTTAGCAGTATATTTAATTTTTTATGTTAAATGTATGTTTTTTCATTGTAATTTCACAAGTGAAAGTCCATAATGGTCAAATATGACAATTTAGAGAACATGTAGGTGATTTGGTGTAATTATTATTTCAACCTCGGTTTCGGACTTATAAACGGTTAACGATGCTGATACAAAAGGCTGCGTTGATATTTGCTCTTATCAGATATATTACTACGCATAATAATGATAATAATTATCTATGGCACATTAATGCATTCTGTCGATGTATGGTTGATGTTCAAGGTCATCTTGAGTAAACAATACAAGAAATCTACTGGTAGTCGAAAGCAACGGTAAGACGCACATACACACAGGAAAGTGCATAGTCTTGTTTCGATAGAGGATTTACGTTAGATTTACGGGTTCTTGGGTCGATTAGTACATATAAGATCTGCGATTTGTTTCGGCTGGGTTTGAACAATATCGTGATGCGTTATCAAACTGATTCAATCTCTCAGAACATCAATCTTCAGAGATTACTAGATGGTAGCCAGAAGTGCGTTAAATATTGACCAGCGTCTGCTGATCCTATATGTAAGGAAAATATTTCTTCTCAGGAATCCTATTTTATTGTGTACACACCAATGTGATTACTTTTTAAGAACAAAGAATTACTCATTTTGTCAATTTTCTTTTAAAAGATGGTGACATTCGGGAATTATTTTCTTACAATTCCGTTTATATTCATCAATAATAACCAAAAAGTAATAAGTTGGATGCATTTGGTTTCAAATTGTTTTATTTACTTGAATATGAATACCATTATACTAATTAATTGATACTTGCAATTGTTTTAGGTCATTGAACAACATTAAGCTTCCCTCTTGCTCAATTCAGCGTAAAAATAGTGACAGCGGTAAGTGAAATAATTTTTTAGAAGAGCCTTTGTTTGAATAATATGATTTCTCCCCTCTGTAAAATTAACAAAATTTTTATCATCACCGATTTGTGTACTTAATGTAGGTAGTAAATCGTGATGTGGACAAATTATCGGTAACATATTCAGATGCGTTATTGAAAAATGTCAAGATGCATGGATTGTTAGAAAGTAAATATCTGTACTGCATACTATTCTTCTGTTCTATTCATTGGGTATACGATATATCCAGTAAGAAAAAAAGATTTGTTGAGGTAACAGACAGTAGGTCATGGGTGTCCTTAAAGGAATGTTAAAGATAGGTATCCGGTTTTAGATTAAGAGGGTGTTAAGGAGTAAGTTTTCTGCGTGTGAAGTGAAATTTCGATTGTTAAAATTGATGAATGAAATACCAATCGAGTGATGAACGCAATGATATAATGTGACCGAGTAATGGGTACCAGACGGTATAATTCACCTAGGCCCCTTAATGATTAGAAGTCAACGACGAGACCAATAGCCAGATGAATAATTTTTCACGTGGTAATTAATATGCTGATATGCAAAATATGAACACAAAATAAACAATAAAATGTCTTAGGCGATTGGGGGGAATGAGCATGTACGTCATTCATTCTCCAATCATTTAAGACCTGAATGATAAGCCTAATCATTGAGCATCGTAGCAGAGGGTAAGCTAGTTTATGGTGTTATAAACTTTCAATGGTTGAGCATTTACCTAGGGAGGTGTAAAGTTCTTATATGAGGTCATTGAAATGATAAGTGTTTGGAAATGACAGTTAACATGGCTCAGCATCGATCACATTAATGCTTATTGACCTACTCTATGTCTCTTATGTTCTTAATATTCTATTAACTTCATACAATTTTTCTCATTTATAAACTTGAATAAAAAAAGAGCAGATATCGTAGCAGAATAACATGACTTCATTTATTTCATGGATCCTCCTCATTTACTTACAACCTAAAGCCGTATCATTACTCATTAAAACAAAACAAATACACGTTTTTTATATCGGAAACGTTTACAGTGAATTTAGTTAGTATGTGAAGATAGAATAATATTAAGAGACTAAAATACGGACGAATTAATATTGTTCAAAGTCTGCTTATTTGCAGGTTAAATATGTGAGTATTCTAGAGGATCATCGTAACAGATATTTGTTCTCGAAACCAAAGATAGATTATATAACGTAGAATAGTTGAGTAAATCTCAGAAGTAAGAATTAAGATATTAGAAATTCTAATGGTTTTAGCAGCTGAGGCGAATCTATAAATAAATGAATTCATATTATTCAGTTACGATATTTGTTCTTTCTTTATAACTGAGGGTTATTACTCAGTCATAGAAAACCAAGTGAGGAAAGATTATAGAATACAACTACAAATTAATAATATTCATCAATCTCAAACTATTACAACAAAATGTAAGTTTATCTTAGAAGCAGTTAATTCAGAAAATCGAGCTTTTGGCTAAAAATAGTCCACCGATCGTAAAGCACTAGTAGTTTGTATTGACAAATTGTATTCGACTCTGTTACTTCGATGCAGTTTACATCACAAAGTAAAATTTATAATCAGAAGACCGTAATCAAACATTTTTAACCTTGTTTCCTTGAGAGTAATGATTTATTATACGGGTTAGCTTTTGTTAACTGGTTAGTAAATGTATACGTTAAACTTTAGATTCATATGAAATGAAGATGCAGAATTCAGCAGACTTGTGGTAGTTTTCAATTTTGTCATGAATAATTGTTGTGACGTTAAATATTTTTAAACTAAAATGAAATTAGTGCTTTTTTCATCTATGATTTATATAAGTTTTTACAAGTTTTGATACGCCTGAAGTAATCGGGGGGATTTTACCTAAAATTTCTTCGCTGGACCTGGATTACTTTTTGTGTGTATCAATGTTTCCAATTTTAACTGAGATTAACATACATGTTTGTATTCGTGCAGTCATGTGCTTGTTTGTTTGCCAATTCGTATGCAAACATGAGTACATATAATACTTCACCTGTCTTTCACGTGGTTTTAATGCTAATTGTCTGTAGTCATTACGTCATTTGATATTGCGATCGTCATTAATATCAGTGAAGTGGAAATACAGTTTAAGTTAGTTTTAACTTCTTCAGCTAGTGAAGAGTCAAATATTTTACTCGATTTTGCTTTTTCCTCCTTTCTTTCTGTTTCATTTAAATAAAGTGATATATTGCAATTAGTGTTTACTGAATTCATGTTTTGGTGTATTTAGTAAGAGTTCCTTTTTGAAAACATTTTTGGGATCCTCTGACATTCTCAAATGAATTTCTCAGTTCAGTTTACAGTGCTGTATTATACAATCCAATATAATAGTGTTAACTGTATGTACACATATAAAATTTACTCTACAGTGGTACAGTTGACTATTTTAACCAACGTTATCCTATTCAAGTCAGTCAGTTATATTGATCTTTAACGCAGGTTACATTTCCTGGAGCAAACCATTTATCAAACATTAATAAAAGTGGTTAGTTTGCCAACTTTACATGAAAGTTTTGATATAAAAAATATTTTAGTCAGAAATAAGAGTTAAGAAATAGTAGCTAAAGAAAAATCACGAACACTCTAGTGAGTAATAATGCAGGAATATAAAAGACAGCTGACCTCTATTAAAGGTCATCTATTCAATCTTGTGAACTTATCGTTTTGTGCTCATTTCGTTTTGGATATATGTATATAATTACTTGTAGACATTATGGACACAAGGTTTATCACTTGTCTGTTGGAAAATATATTTGGTCAGTTAAGTTCTCTTCATAATTTCTAACAGGATGTGACATCAGTATGTTTCTTCGTGCGTGAAACTCTTCGTTTCCCGACACACTTGTCTACCTTATTAATCATTAAATAAAGGGGTTTATAAACTGGTAGAATTCTTTCTGAGTACCCTATTACTATAACAGATGATCTACTCGGTTTGTATTTTTCATTAGAGTTGGCCCTTTGTCACATAGTTTCTAAACCAAGAATGAAGTTGCATGAGCTTTTTCTCTAGGTATACTCACAAATAATGTATTCACCCCTTATTTTAAATATCTAACTGTTCGGTACATTTAATTACACTTTATTTACTTGTTTTTTATTACCTCTTTCTTATTGTCCTTTATTGTTGTTGTAACGTTACTTTTCAATTCGTCGGTATTCTTATGTTAAGATGTTGCAACTTAAACTGAAATGCATTTAATTCAAGCATTATATTGTTTCTATCTAATGTGGAAAGTGCTCTTTAATTTGTCACAACGGTTGTCATTTTTGCTCAAATAGACTTGCCCATGTAAAAAAGAAAGTAAACCCAATTTATGAAGAAAAACTTTGTGTTATTCAAATTTATTAAGTCAGCGTTTCTTCCATAAACTGAATTATGGGGTTTGGTCTCATTTGGAATTCCGTTTGCACAAAAGACTTATTACCGTGATAGTAGTAACAATTACAACTAATGTTAAAATAGTAACTTATAAAGATACTATTTTTATTATTCATAGAGAATATATATAGCACTTGGTGCATGTTTGTTTAAAAATAGAAAAGTGATAATGTAGTTAATTTATGATTTAATCATCTTTATATGAATAACGTAACAATAAATTCTTTGATCATACCACTAAAATATACAGGTTAAATTCTCTCAAGGTAGCACCAAGTTTCTGCCAGGATCACCTCTATGTTTCGCTGTTTAGTTCAAATACATATAACAGGGTAGATTAAAATTGTGTTTAAGAAGAAAATATCAAATGTAAATAAACTTTCCCTGGCTACTGTTTTTATTTAGCTTGTGATTTCTATGCTAAATCTTAGGATCAATCTAAACAATTGAGTATCGGTTTTTCACTGTTTTACTAGTGTTTACATATCGAGGAGCCACAATTAATTCATTTAATAGTTGCAAATGGTGAACATTTCTCTAAGTCTTTACGCCATAAATGAATACTGTTGAAAAACTAGTTTTTCACCTGGTTACTAATACTACGAATTAATAACCAAAGTAAACCTAGTGTCATTGGCCTGAAGTTATATTTACCGTGTTAAGTGTCACGGTTTTACTAAGTATTAGCTACATGTTGTTTGTGACTAGATTACTACACAGTTCAACAGAATAAATCAACAGAACGAGAACAAACAATCAGATTTTCAGTGTCTCACATCATTTATTTACCCTAAGACCAATTCGAATAAGGAGTTAAGTGAACACCGAAGAGTATAATTATCTCTACTTTTGATGATTGTACAGTGAAAAATATATAGGTATTCTAGATAAGTGAGACCAGGAAAATCTAAGAATGTGGTTCAGATTTTTAGAAGTCTTAATTTGAATTTTTGAGCTTAGTTTAATTAAAATCTTCAGTACGATGAATTGAAAAGTTATCTTTTTAGGAAGTTGGTTGTAGTTGAGCACTTAGGTAGTGCAACACTGCGGAATCTCGATTATTTGAAAGTTTGGTTTTAATCGGTTACTCAGTCATTCATCATTAACCTAGAGCCTGGAACATATGCATTGGCTCAAGTTGCCACACCATATCAGCACAATGAGATGAAATTCACATGACGAATATCAAGAGAAATTGAATTAATGTAGTAACAATAACAAGAAGAAAGAATAACCATTGAGAATATGGTTCGAAAGATAGTGGAGAGGTATGTATGAAGGAAAACTGGAATTCAAGATATTAGGATAAGAAGTGAATGTATTTACAATTGACTGATCACTGGTCGTTGGCCAATGTCATATGTGTCAGGTCCTTCTTAGTGCAGATCGAACCTAGGCTAAATCTAAACTGTCACTAGAAGTCTGCAGCCACTGATAAGAGTTATTACAAGGATCTCAACTGGGTAGTCTGCATCTACTAGAATGTCTCGGACTGAGAGTTAATAACTTTATGAACCAATACTATGTATTGGTTAGGACATTCCTGACTTCCAATCTAGTCCTATTTCAGCAAATATTGCCTATTGGGGTAAGCCATGAACAGGCGTACGGGGCCCATGTGCTAATCACCTCAGTCGATGAAAATTCACTACTTCATCAACTATTTTCACGCCTTCGGTAAATACCTCACGTTTAATCTCAACATTGTTCACTTGGTGATTCTATAAGACTTGAGTAATACTTCGAAGACACCTATAATCAAAAAGCCTCATCCTACGCATATATCTTACTTCCAAAGACCGTGTTTCCCGCCCATAAAGCAATGCAGAGCGGACTACTGCGAAGTGTCGGCTACTCGATAACTTCACGTTGAGTGTTTAGACTGCTGTTATTTTTAAAAAATAGTCTTTTCAACTCCCTCAGCACACCTGGAAATGATCAGTTTTTATGCTTTTGAATTTCAGTAATTCAACTGGTATCACTTCTTAACAGTTAATAACTACTAAATATTCAAAATAGTGAAATGTCTGTTCAGCGACTAAATCACTTGACTTTCATTCAATAAACAACAAATCCTAACCCTGCATCATCTAGTTCAGTTTAGGTAGTCAGATAGTGTTATAGGCCTTTAAAAAAAACTATGATTGGAAACTGAATACATGAAAGTTTTCACAACTTAAATGTATGATTTGAGAATAATATATAGATAAAAAGTGCACTTTATCTTTTGTTGGCCTATTAAGTACATGCAAAGAATATACGTCTGGTCAAAATATACATCTACTTTAATCGTGGACATTTTGTTTAGTTTTTCTCGCTTTCTTATATCGTATGTATTTACGGCATGAAAGCACTTTTAATATCTAGTGAATAGATTTCATTAGTTGTGATCATGAAGGAAAGGAGAAAGGTCACTTTAATGATGGATATAGAAATTACCCATACACATTCTATGGAATGACCTTTAAATAGATGATCAGCATACTAACATATAGGATTGGTTTATAATTATTCTCATTATAATAGTGACAAAAAACCATAGGTTTGTACTTTTTGATAGTTATTGAACACGTCTAAGCTTACTGTTGTTTCAAAGGTAAAAACGCTTCCACCTTAGCAGTTATAACCTTCAACTCATCATAATCATTGTTCCTTAACGTCTCTCTGCACCTTATTGATTAGTTCCATTGACAATCACCTATTTATTCGTAAAATATAAAGTAGTTTCAAACGAAACAGTTTATTTATACGAATATTATGTTGACTTAATCGTTTCATGTAAATATGAAGTTGGATTGACCTGTTCCCTGCAATCACTTAAATACTATCACGTATTTCTATGGAATACTATTACATATTATTATTTATGGGTTGTTATAGAACCTTCACTTACCATAATTATAAAATCATCATTATTGAATAGTAACGTATCGAGGTAGTATTTTATGTCAACTTTCGCTTAAATTTGAACGAATAGTTCCACATTAGTTGTCGAGGTTCAATGAGTTTATACTATTTGGTTACTTAAATTAAAGTGTATAGAACGGCTTTTGGAGTATTCAAACCAGTGGTTGAAAATGAAGTATCTTATTCACTTATACATGAAATTATCAATTATTGTATTGATACGGTAAGAATTGTGTAGATAAGTTTTATTACATTGCAATAGTTGTATACATTTGACAACCTACGTTATTTTCATATGTATGCATTTTCTCATTTTTCTACATTTTCTAGTGGATCAAACCTCATTACTTGTTCGTATAATTGGTAAAGTGAGTAATACCTTCTTTATCCTGATTTTAGTGTTCATGTAATTTATGAATGAATTGTGTACTTATATACTAAATTCTCATTTAAATTTACTATAAAAAGACTAGGAATATTACTGGTCTGTTCAAATTTAAATATTTTCAATCTTTTCAATGTAAAACAAATAGTTTATATCAGTATAGTGGTTGTGGAGACTGCTGAGGAGTCCCACAATAGGACGAAACGGCCGTCCAGTGCTTCCAGGTTTTCAATGGTGGTCTAACATCAGTCGGTTCATGATCTCAATCGAAATAGTTTATAGTTTTATAATTAGTCTGTTAAATTTCTTCTAAATTACATTTTTTTTTAAAATTTGGTCATTGACTGTAGAGGCTTTTTCTTCTTAAATGTTATATGACGAGATAACTTCTGTTCTTTTTATCGGTAGATCACTTTCATGATGATAATATAACTAGTACAAAATCTGACAACAAATAAATTCACCGTGGAATTCGTATTATTTTGTTTGTTTTTGTAATTTACGTCTTGATCATTATTACAGCTTAATACGGTTACACATCTTTTTTATCTAAACATACCTACATCAAAGGAATACAACTAAAAGAATTAAATAGTGGAAGTCTTAAGGATATTTTTTTTCTCTCTTAAAAATAACTAGCTGAATACGTTGATGTTACATTTTTAAAAGATACGACATATCTTGTTAACGAGAAAAATGTATGTCATATATTCTAGTAGTTCACAATCAAAAATTCAGATTTTTATAAGGAGATGTAGAAAGATCTATTTAAGGTAATTGTAAATAATAAATGAAGTAAAACAATTAAGAATCAGTCAAGTTGTCGGGCTGTTATTGCAATTAACTATTGAATCTTGACCTTGGCCAGTTAGAAGTTATCTTCAATAGCTCTGATGTTTGTATTCTTTTTAGTGGTGAGAATGATGAATTGACTTGATTGAATACGTGAATAGATTATCATCATAATGATTATCGTTGTAATATTTAGTTCTACTCTTAATCAGTTAACCTGTCTGCTAATAAATCAGTTTAGTTGTATGAAGAGGAAGTTAAGTGAAACTGATTTAAAAATTATACACAAAAATCTAATTAGTGGATCTATCTGTGAATAATATTTTCTCGTATATTTGTCTGTTTCTATTAGGCATTTCAGTGGAAAACATAAAAATTTTATTTGCTTTATGCCAAAACTAATTCCAATTTACCATATATATGCTTGATATATATAACAGTATTAAAAGTTATTACCATTTCACACTAAGCAATTTCGGAGTAAGACAGAAACTATTGGGTTGAATTCTGCTTGAGGTTATAAGTGTACACTAGAATATAATGGTTCTTCAGTACTCTCTGAACTTCAGTGAATTAGGTTGAGATTATTTAGTGATGACAATAATCTTCAGCTTGATCATTATGTTTTGTTTATGAATTGTTTATCATACTGGAATGACTACACTTTTTTAGGGAAGCCAGGAATCATTATCAACAGTTCATCATGTTTCTTTTTTCACGGTATCATTGTCTAAGATTCATCATTATCATGAATAATTAACGCTTCTTTGAATAGCTTTATGTATTCATGTTACATTTTTAAACTTTCATTTCAAGATAGTTATATTGTCTCATCAGCCCTTGTGGTCTTGTGTGTGACGAAATCTCAGCACGGATACAGAAGGTTCGACTAGCTTTTACCAACTTGCGTCATTTATGGCGTAGGCGAGATATCCGTCTATCAACCGAAGGACGAGTTTACTGCGCAGCAGTTCGTTCCGTCCTACTTTATGGCAGTGAAACATGGTCGGTAAGAGTAGAGGATATTCGTAGGTTACTAGTATTCGATCATAGGTGTCTTCGAAACATTGCTCGTATATCATAGGACCATCGAGTTAGTAACACAGTTGTTAGGAAACGGGTACTAGGTAAGGATGGCAAATCAATTGATGAAGTAGTGAGACTTCATCAGTTGAGATGGCTGGGACACGTGTTACGTATGCCCAACGACCGACTGCCTCGACGTGCTATGTTCAGTGGTATAGGAGTAGGTTGGAAGAAAGCTAAAGGCGGCCAAACCAAAACATGGTACAAATCCATGAAGTCACTGACAAGTGGACTGAGTCATGTTGGTAGATGTAGACTACCTGGTTGGGGATCACGAGATGATAGTAACCGATGGTTAGAGACCCTGAATGATATGGCTCAAAATCGTTTGCAATGGCGCAGGTGCATCCACTCTTTGTGTTCTCCGAAATTCTAATCTTCTGAATTCTTCATGTCCCTTTTTTTCCTCTTTCCAAATTTATTTCACTGTATTATACTCTTTAAATAACATCTCCAAACACTAATCTTCCCGATTACTGCTTATACTCTTGCTACCTCTACCACTACGGGATTTGAATCGACAAGTGCATCTCTGTGCTAATGTGGTGTGGCAACTTGAACTGATGTACGTACGTACGAAGTTCTACGTTGTTACTGACTGACTGACTGTCTGCAGTATTGCTACAATGTGATTAAATAAATGAGAATTTAATGCATTGAATTACTTGAACAAATAGATCATTTTTTAAATCTAGAAAATTTTCACAATGGTACTACAGTTCATTCAAATTGTCACATATTCAAACGTTAAACAAAGAATAAAAAATTTTTATTCAGTGGATAAAAAGAAATATATGCATACATATATATATTAACGAATTGTTTGAAAAATAAAATTAATAAATTCGTTTACATTATTGTGAATAATTTTGGATAGAACTGTAGTTTAATGGCTAAAGCATTTCAATTTCAACTATTACATTTTGCGTACATGATAACAGTCACACAAATAACTGATTTAAGACTTATACGACGTATCTAAGCGCTTTTCCTCAAGTGTCTTCGTGAAACCTTTTAGTGTTGTGTATTTTTACCGTATCTGATTCACTAATGAATGTTTATGTCTTAGTTATATCTGCGAATATTATGGACTAATTATGAAATGAAATTCAGTTGTGTATATCTAACTGTCTCTGGTTAAAGATTCTATAGTAAAGAAACTGTCAAATCAGTCTAGTCAACCAATGTAAGTGATAACTTGTATTGAACAAAAAAAACACTAACAACTTGTTTCACTGATTCCATCTTATTTATCTAAACTTTTACATGAAATCTAGTTTTCTTTTTATTTGTTGCTTATTTAATACTTTTAAAATATCAAAGAAAATAAATACTTCTAACATGTTCATATTGTCCACATTCACTGATCATGTTACATAATCAATTATATGTCGAAAGCGATCTTATTATTCAACTATACAACTACCTCTTTGATAGGTCACATCATATGTGGTGTAAATTTTAAAACGTCAACCAATCATATTATTCAATCATTACACTATTTTTATTATATTAAAAAAAATTGTGAAAAGTTCTCCTTGTACTTCTGTAAATTACACTATATATATACATAAATATTTCTAATTAATTTCAGATTAAAATCATTCACTTTTTAATCGATTATTTGTATTAAATAAAAGCAAGTTAAAGAGAACATTATGCCTGTCTATTTTTCTAGAGTAATAATAGTAGTAATAATAATTAATTAATTACCAATAAACATTTATTTAAATGTCCTTGAATTTTAATCAATAAGAAATCTTTACTTTTCTATGTCTATATAAAATTAAGAAAGTTAAATTAATTTATGAAATTTGTGTACACTTTGTTACTAATAATAGACGCGTGAATGACCACATACATACATAGATATGTGTGTAGATATATGTTATGCTTATGTGTTACAAGAGTACGTGTTTTTTTGTGCAATATATATAGTTGTTGAAAATGAGAAGAGCTAAATTTAATCGTTTACTATTACTTGTCGATTTATTTATTATGACTAACATTATCATTTAGTATTATTTCATTAGTTTTCGATATTGATAAATTTATGATTCCTTTGATCTTATATCTATCTATCTATATATATATACCCTATAGGTTAATATTATACTTTCCTAATTGTTATGATCAAGTGATTACAAGGTTTTCAGACTTATATTTAGTTTTGTGCCAAATTAACAATTATAAACAGTGTTGATTTAATTAAAAAAATATTTCAATGATTTTAACGCTGAATTCTCAACGATTAAGCTATTGATTAGGTGGAGTTAATAATTAGAAAGTGCAATAATTTAAATGGATAATTTTTTGTGTACTCAGGAGAAAAAATGGAGTAAAGTATATTTATAGCGTATAATGGATGTTCGATATTTTCCATTGAATACGAAATTAAAGTCCAAGCTGATTTAGTAAATAGTTGAGAAATAAGTTATGATTAGTTGTGTTCAACCATGCTAGAAAATGTAGCAGATATCACCGATTGTAATGAAAATTAATTGTGCAGTTTATCACGAATTCATTGACGTTAATAATAGTGATCATTGGGTCCCGAATCAGTTGTCTAGACGGTTATCATTTCGAAGTTCCATATCATGGGAGGTTGTGGGTGGAGATCAATGAATCACAAACTAGAACAAACCAGCTGTTCAATATTCTTTGGTTTTCCATGTTTCTCCAACTGATATCAGTCTCTTATGAAACCTTAATTTTAAATGTGTTGTAGTTCTATACACTATTGAAAAAGTTAGATACAAAGTAATAAAATACTTTTGGAAAATGCTGAAATCCCATCTCAACTTCCATCATGTCATTTAATATTTTATGCTAACTCAGCCAGGTCTCTTAAAGTTAATATTATTGCTACCACAAGTTTTTTGTTTTTTTAAAAGTTGACCTTGAAATTTTGTTATATAGTACAGCTCATATTACCTTATTTTGGAAAACAAATACACTGAGGTCATGTTTTATTTATCATAGACTAAGTTATTATGTCTCAATCTGTACATGTTCTTTTTAAATCGCAACTTGTTATCGTTTAATGTTCTATTCGTATTAAACTATGTTATAGAATGGATAATATATTGTTTTCATCCATTTAAT